AAAAAATTAAAACTACTCCTTAACACCTTTTTTCACCTCCTGTATTTTTACTTTATTAAAAAAAAAAAAGCTTAATTGAGAGTTTTCAAAACTTTCAAAAAGTGTGCAAAAGAGAAAACGTAAGAGTGCATCACGTATCAGTTGTTAATCATGATATAAATTGTAAGGTAAAGTATAGGGTATCAAAGTATCATAGACATTTTAAACCTCAGGACAGCTGGCATATGACAGACAAAAATGTGGGGCTCGAGAATGTAGCCCATGGATCAGCACAGCCAGGGGAATGGGCCTTGCAGGGCCAGGAGGTAGGCAATGTGCTAGTTTAAAGTAATTGGTTGTAGATTAGTGGGGCAGGGGACTAGCTGGATATATATATATCGGCCATCTAATGCAGTGGCATTTTAACTAAACTGACACTTACTTGTGAGTTGTCCCTCCCACACTCCCCTTTTTTGTTGGTTGGTTGGTTGCAATACATGCATAATCATGGTTTATGAAGCCCCTTGTAGCGTCTGGCAACAACATGTCCAAAAAGAACATCTCTAGTTCCCGATGTGAAGCTATATCCTGATAAATGATGTGGCACTACACTTATATATCTAATAATAAATTATTGAGATAAAGTTACTGGGCTGGGGGTAGCTATACTACTTTTATTTTTTTTCATGATATTACGCCTGAACGAAACTGTTAGACAACAATAAAAAACAGTTAATCTGTGATCTGATAACATCTCTTGCAAGTGTGTTGTATGAGTTAGGAAATCATTGATGTCCCTTTAATCCCTGTTTAGACACCACTTTACAGACAATGCTATCATAAAATCTGCCTCTTTAAGCTCAGGGGAGATCCCCATAGCCTCAAACTGCAAATGGTGGTAAAGGACAAGACAAGATTGTGCACAATATTATTGGGAATACTTGCAATTTGACACCATTTTGAGAATATGATTCTCTAAAGTACAATTTTAAACTTATTACGGCCTTGATAATAAAATATTGTTGGATAAGCTTTCCCAATGATTTAGTATTTTTGGACAAACTTTTTAAATGATTTAATATTTTGAAAAACATTTTAATGTTGTAATATTGTGAATTTTTTTGAAAAATTGATATATATTTTTAATGTATGATAGATCGTTTGATATTTTGAATGTTGCAATTTTTTTTAAAGTTTATTCAAAAATATGAAATAATTTGGAAGCCTTATCCAAAAATATTGAATTGAGACCTCAGTCCGAAAACTAGACTATTATGTGTAGTTTTTTTTTTTTTTAATCAAACAGTAAAGCTGTGCGAGGTAGCCCTGGAGTGCAGGACTTAGCTCAATGGCTACAGCGTCTTCTGATCTCTCTCAGCCAATGAGCTAAGCCCTGCAGCACCATATCTCTGTCAGATGTAGTAGAGTTGGGGGGGCGACATCTGGCCGTTTTAAAACAGTGTGATTACTCACATTGGGGGAGCATTAGGGCTTTCCTGGCACCATAACCACCACACTGTGTTGTAATAGTTATAGTGTTTGAAGTGTTCCTTTAATTAACTCTTCTGCAATGTCATTTAACTAGGAATAAAACTGCAAAAATGATAACTGTGATATCATTGATGAAATAGCCAGATACTAGAAATTGGATCTGGAAGTGCAAATATATAACTTGACTATAGAAAATAAACAAGCAAGGCCACATATATATTTACACAAGTCTTATATGATCAAAAAGACTTTTAAGAGATTAGAGGAAGTCAGATCAAAAAAATTCGCAATCTGTACAATGAACTTTGAACTTATATTTCCTATAATGTTGGCGTATATGATACCACGCACATTTAAAGGCAGAAAAATAATTAGTTGTTCACGGTTTGATAGTCATTAACGCTCTGTCAGACACGCTTCCAGTGATATATGAAATCTCTCTCAAAAAGAAATTCTCATTATGATACACTTTCTATCACCCCTTTATAAAGCAATTTGGGTTTAATAAACGGTGAATTATGGCGAATTGATAAGTAGAGTGCAAATTGTAAGTCAAAATGGCAACACTGAAAAACAGCAAACGTGGAGAATTTACATATTTTTTTTTGTATTTTTTTGGGGGGGGGGGGCTAAAATGTCCTAAATCCCTTGTAAATCTCCACAATTAACTATTTAGTGAATAACACCAAATGGAAAATGAACGGGTTTTTTTTTAGCACAGATAAGGTTAACCGATTAAAGCTGTTGTGTCTACATCAATGAATGGGTTAAGCAGGTACCTTTGCCAGACTCCCTTTCTTATGCTAATAGATGCCATGTCTGTGGCACAGTGCCAGCCACCGCTGCCCTCCTCCTCTTGTAGTATTTTGGGGGATCTTTTCAGATCCCAGATTTTGCCTATGGGAAAAATCCCCAATGAATGGGTCCTTTGCTCTGCCCCAAGAAAGAGGGACAAGGCTGTAACCAAAAGAAGGAGAGGGGCGGGCACTGCCTCTGCAAGACAGAATAGAGGCCAATAAGTTCATCAGCGGCAATTGTGTTATTGGGGTACAGTCATTGCACTCATGATGTCTGTGTATTTAACCCCTTCCCACACAGAATAAACTGTAAAGCAAGAAACAAAATATAAAAGTGCATATAATGTGACGACAAATAGGAAGCAGTCCAATCTGTCTATTAGAAAATATGAAATGGATCGTGCACATTGCATATCTCAGTTTTGTTAGCAGTCACCACATCTACCAGAAGGCTATCCCAGGTATCTACTACCTTTTCTTGAGAGCAGTATTTTCCCACGTGACACCTTTCCCTTTCAAGCTATACCCTCTAGTTCTGCAACTTCTTTTATATATTCACTTAATGTCTTAAAAAGGTTCTATTATATGTTTTACTTCCTTATCGCCTTCACACTTCACGTTAAGGTGTTAAAGTCTTTCTTTATATGTTTTGTTGGAATTCAAAAAAAGGGCCTCAATAATTGGGCATAGTCTTTCTCTACATTATGTCCTTTTTAAGTCATAGTCTCTAGGGTTAATACAGTATAGTATAAATGAAGTCCCTAGTGATAAATACAGGTGTTTTCTGTTGCTGAATCCTCTTCCTGTGCAAATAAACAGGGAGTTATGGTGAGATGAGAAATGGTTTGATATATTTATACCAGTAGTTTGTTAGTTTTTTTTTTTTTTGTAATCCCTGGGTTGGCACCCAGAACTGGGTCCCCATTCTATATCAGTAGCTCCTAAATGGCTGCAAAAGGCCCTTTAGATAAGATACTAGACATCAGCACACATTAAAGTATTTGCCTTGCCCAGTTCAATATTTGCCTAATGTATTTTGTTATAAATTATATAACAACTAAATAATAGGTCATTAAGCTAGTTTTTTCTATACATATGATCAAGATCCCTGTTAGCAACCACAGACGAGACTAAAATACCAAAGTTGGAAAAAATGCATTTTTATGCATTTTAATCTTTCTACTTACACTACCACCTGATCACTATTATAAAATATCCAAAATTAATCATAACGCCTAAACCCTGCTATAGTCTGATTTTTCCGATTCCAGCTCTGCGGGTCATCATAATTTAGATTGTCCTTGGGTCAGCAAAATTATAATATAATTCCTCATTCCATGACTTCTCATGTACAACTTCTGACATTTTATTTTTAATAAATTTCTGGATCAAATATGTGAATATTAAAAAATACTAACCGCAAAACAAAACTGACAAGGAAACTCTGCCAACACTAAAATAAAACAAAAAAAAATCTATCTATCTATCTCTTTACCTATGTCTGTGTGTCTGTCTATCTATCTACTGATAAATAAATCTTCTAAATGAAATACAAGAGGTTGTAAAATCCCCAAAAATATCATTATTTGCCATTCCACTCTCTATGTATAAGCTGTATCTCCACAATAATAATAATAGTCCAGTAGAGCTGTCAGTGAGATACCTGCACCCTATACCTGCACTCTATCTGCACACAGTATACCTGCACACACTATACCTGCCCACAGTATACCTGCTCACTATACCTGCACACACTATACCTGTACCCTATACCTGCCCACTGTACCTACACCCTGTACCTGCACACAATATACCTTCACTCTATATCTGCCAATTATACATGCACCCTACACCTGCACACCCTATACCTGCACACAATATACCTCTACTCTATACCTGCACCCTGTACCTGCACACAATATACCTTCACTCTATATCTGCCAACTATACATGCACCCTACACCTGCACACCCTATACCTGCACACACTATACCTGTACCCTATACCTGCACCCTGTACCTGCACACAATATACCTTCACTCTATATCTGCCCACAATTTACCTGCCGACTATACCTGCACCCTATACCTGCCCACTGTACCTGCACCCTATACCTGCCCACTATACCTGTACCCTATACCTGCCCACTATACCTGTACCCTATACCTGCCCACTATACCTGCACACACTATACCTGCACCCTATACCTGTACCCTATACCTGCCCACTATACCTGCACACACTATACCTGCACCCTATACCTGTACCCTATACCTGCCCACTATACCTGCACACACTATACCTGCACCCTATACCTGTACCCTATACCTGCCCACTATACCTGCACACACTATACCTGTACCCTATACCTGCACACATTATACCTTCACTCTATACCTGCACACATTATACCTTCACTCTATACCTGCACACATTATACCTGCACACATTATACCTCCTGCCTGCCCACTGTACCTGCCCAGATCCTCTGTCTATGCCCACACACTGTGACTTCCCATCCCATTGATGGCAGCAGCCTGCACACAGCACAGCCACGAGGGGAGGGAGCACGGGGGGGGGCGTGCCAGCTGCATTCTCCATGGAGACCCCGCAGCCAATCGGCGCGCCGAAAGCTGTTTACGTAGGCGGGGCGTAGTCATGGTGCTTTGGGAAGCCTCTCAGAACCTCTGCTACTTAAATGGCTGGCAGGGCAGGCAGGGGGGGTAGATAAGAGGAGAGCCTGGCAGGGCAATAACTCATCTTGGACTCCAGCACCAACCCCTCCACTGCTGCTGCTTCCAGAACCTTCCTGTCCTGAGCTCCTATTCTCCAGGTACAAATAATGGGGGGCACTGAGCTCCCTGCCTGACCCCCCTCACCTGGAAAGGGTCCTTACTGAGACCACCTGCTGGGGGGTGCCAGCCAGGGTCTGGGGGTACTCACCACCTAATATTTATTATAATTCAATGGGTCACTGCACTGTCTGGCTGCTGCTGACCGTTGAGCAATGAGCTTGTTTCACTGCAATTACTTTATCTATTTTAGAATTTTATTATTTTATTTCACTTTTTCATTATTTTATTTTTGTTATTATTATTATTGTATTTTATTATTTTATTTCACTTTTTCATTATTTTATTTGTATTATTATTATTATTATTATTTTATTTTTGTTATAATTTTATTTTATTTTTTTTAAAGAGTTTTTTTTTTTTAATGGGAATGTATTTCTCACTATATTTTTAAGAAGGCTGTGGCTGGTGAACAGAATAAATGGACATTCAAGTCCTTCTGCTGGGCATTGAGCTGCAAAATTGGAAGGGAGTATGTGGGTGGTGGGTTGTGTGGTGCATTTTAAACAGGATTTCCCTCAATTGTTGTTTACTTTATTCCCCCCCTCTTGGAGCCCCCTTAGTTTGGAGTTTTGTATTTTTTCAATAATGATTGTGGTGTACCAGGATTTCTGGATGTTTTACATGGTTATGTAATTTCCTATTGCCCATCTTTTAGTCTTTCTACCTTTTCTAGAATCAGATGTCTGTGATTTGTAGTGACATGTCAACTATGGAGCTTGATTTAGGATTGTACTGAGCTGCAAGTGGATTTTTAAAGTTGCTGGGAAATAATATTGCAATGAACTGTGCTAGTGCTTAATCTGTTGCACACAGGAGGAAAAAAAGAGCATGCCAGTGATAAATCAGGGCTTGATGTATTACAAAAACTACAAAAGGGTGCGTGTATTGACCTTTGCATTTAATTATTTTCAAGACTTGGAAATAATTCTTTCATGTTCTTTGCATAGTGGCTTAGTGGGGGTCTGTGGGAGGTGGGCAGTCTAGCCAACCTTGACTTTATGCTTGTGAAACACCAAGACACCTTTAAAAAAAAAAAAAAAAAAAAAAATTTTTTGGGATGACAGCAGGGAACAGACCACATCTAGGAATGTTACCACCTACACATTGACCGAAATAATTCCCACTAGAAAACTGAAAATTGCGACTTCAATCGCAATAGATTGGTTCGTTAACTTTACAGAGAGTAGTTTCAATTAATGTGGGGTTCATTTAATAAATAGTACATTTTAGTAAATGGAAAACTACACTTGTGTCACTTACATCAGAACTTCTAAAATAGCCCATACATGGCCTAAATTTTGAGAATTTGCTATTTAGTTTGGCATAGTTCCCTGTTTGGTGAATAAACCTTTGTGTATTTGAGTGTTGCATCACAAGTATGAAGTTTATTTATATGTTATGCTCTTGTGCCATGGTTATCTTTTAGAATCTCGATTATTACAGGTCTATACTATTTCGTAGTGTTGGTCTAGGAGAATTGTATGTGTCCCAGGCGGTCTTGATTATTTCAGAGTGAATAATTGCCCATTAGAGAGGATGAGAATATAGAAAGAGTTCGATGTCAGAAAGTTGGTAGACATGTGGCCTCTTCATCTCAATGACTCAGTGCTCCGCATTTGCTGCCAAGAGGCCCCCTTTTACACTGCATAATAAACCCTATTGTATATTGCTGCAACCCATTCTTTAAGACATTTCGCAATAGTTACTGCCTCCCCCCCCCATATCTATTGTGCAACAATAAACAGGGTTCAGTTTATAGCAAGGAGAATTTTAATATATTTTTGTTCCTTGCAGGAACTGAGCAGTTATTGAGGAATTAGGTAGAACATTATGCATTGGCAATGTTTTTTCCAGTTGACATATTTGGGGCTACCATAGTTTTTGCTAATATAGAGCGATATCCAGTGGTTCCACCTGAAGATATTCAACGATCAACCTGGAGTAATCATCTTCCATTATTTTGGAATTCATGATAATTATATTTGCGCTCAGTTTTGACGTTCAAATTTTCAAAATGAGCATTGACAAAAATGTAATTAATGAGTTCTGGTGGGCTCTTTAATTTTCATTGTTCTAATAAATGTCTTTTGAACCATATCATAGGACCAGTCTACGGACCACTGAAGCTTCCTGAATGTTTGACCTGTCAACTTCAGGCCCCTTAGAAATGGAAGACAGCTGGGCAGCCTTTCAGACCGAGGGAGAGCTTGGGCAAGACTCCCATTCCAGTTCAATCAACCTTGATGACAGCCTTACAAGCCTTCAATGGCTACAAGAGTTCTCTATTATGAATGCCAATGTTGGCAGGACACCTTCATCAGCTGGGGAATCACAGGGGTACAGAAACACATCAGGCTCCGGAGCCCCTTGCTCCCCATTGGCTGCTGATCCTGCATGCTTGGGGATGCCTCACACTCCCAGTAAACCAACTTCTTCATCTACCTCAAGGACATTACATATGGGTCTCCAACCCCATGAAGATATCGACTACAAGACCAACCCACATGTTAAACCACCCTACTCCTATGCGACTCTAATATGCATGGCAATGCAGGCAAGCAAGAAGACGAAGATCACATTATCTGCCATCTATAAATGGATCACAGACAATTTCTGCTACTTCCGACATGCAGATCCCACCTGGCAGGTACGTCCCCTTTGAGAGTAGACGTAAATGGAAATGGATCATGGTGATACAAATTACACAATACCTGCCAAATACAATAACCACTACAATGTGCTGTTGTAGTTATGGTGTCAGGAGTGCCCTGGTGTAGGTAGTTAAACCGTTTGCAAAAAGTCTGCATTTGGAAGTGAAATCTCTCTCTTCCGTTAGCTCTACTGAGCTTTTCAGCTCATTGCCTGAGATCATCAGCTGATCACTCTCATCCAATGAACTAAACCCTGCATTGCCTGTCTTAGCTCAGTGGGGGGGCAAGGAGTGGGGCCCAGTGTACTACGGCTAAGAAGTCAAACCGTTAGCAAACTGTTTGACTAATTGCTTCGAAGGGAAGGGGTGTCAGGACATTCCTGGCACCATACCACTGCAGCGTAGGGCTTGGAGTGCTCCTTTAAGTAGTCATTGCACTTTGGTCTCTATTCCATTGGCTTTGTAGATGTAACTGTGATGCTTTTTTATACGAGGTAACAGAATGTAGCATTATTTTTTTTTGTAAGTTTGTAATCTGTTACATAATGTACATGCAGAGCAATCATCTCAAAAGTGCCAGCTCCCTGTTCTCAAATGCATAACATCCATTGCTCCCCTTACTAAAACATGATTTGTGATACTTTTGTAACTAAAAGGCAATAAGGCATACAGTGGGTGCCTCTCAGCATCTCTTGTAGTCCCCTGTGTATAATTACTTTGTGATTCCGTGATTGCTGCGTTACTATTTTGTGCTTACTGCATCCCACAGCATCACCAGCTGCATTAACCCGTCTTCTACTGTTGTATGTAAACATCCTTCCCAAATATATTAAAGAACAATATCATCCCTATTAGCAAGGCTGACTTGTAAGGGTTAATGTGTATGGGCAATCAGGGGTTAGAGCAATCTAGGGTCCTAAGCATGCTCTGTAAATACACTGTCATATATCAGGTTATTATTAGGCTGTGGGAGCCAGGTCCCTTTCCACCCCCTATCCTGTAGATTCTGTGTGGCCCTGACACCCCATTGTCTCCCAGTAATGGATGGTCAGTGGGAGGTACCAGACCAGACTGGTTTATAGTGCAAACCTTGTACAGTGAAGCTGCGGGGCTGGGGGAGAGCAGATTCTCGGAAAGGGGATACAAGAATCCCTCCCAAATCGTTTAAATGATAGCTTCTCTTTCTCTCTGTGACATTGTGCAACAATTGCAACAGAAGTCTTTATTTAAACCGGCTTTGATTGAGTGTTTACTTATGTTTGCCTAAAATAACCACATTTGACTTTAAATGCACATCCCTTGACAATAACTCAGCGGTGCTTTTACCAGGCTCTGAAATTTGCTTATTTACTGCCATCCACCTGATTCTGATTCTGTCTATCCATGCATATAGACATGGTGGGAAAAAACGCAGGGGTCACTAAAGAATTTGACTCTCATTGCTAGATGATACGTTTTATATAGCCTTAAACATCCTATAGTTTTTAGTGGCACTTGAACTTTGACTCACTCTGTAAATATCAAAAATCTTATTCTGTCTGTCTGTCTCTCTATCTATCTACTCAATGCTTTCATCTGGGGACACAGTCGTTCCCTTACAATAGATGTTCCTGGAGGTAGAAAATTAAATCCGCTCCCCAGACCTAGTTGGAGTTTAATTAAACATTGTCGGTGGGGGGTGCCCCAGACACACACAGGTGGCAAGGATAGAAGTCACTGAGGCAGGAATGATAAATATGTTTAACTTGCCAAGCAATAATCATCCACAATACCATAACAGAAGGAGATGAATTGAAAGAAAGTTGGTGTGTGCAAGGTCCTCTTGTTCACCTCTAGTTAAATTTCATTAAACAGTAAATAACAGATCAGGAAGATCCGGGATCCCTGGGGATAGGAGAAAAAAGTTGAGGGCAGAAAAAAAAATGATGTGGTAGTAACAGCTGTATTGTCAGAACAATTTACATAGAATTGTAGAACAATATGCCCCTGGTTCTTTTGGCAGCGGTTGCACATTTCATTTTGAATTTGTTCTTTTCTGTTCCCCTTAAAGCCTTTCTCCCACCCAAATATATACAAACATTCCCATTATCCCCCTCCTCTCCCTTCTCCTTCCAGTAAACGTGGGCTCTGTGTAAAACCGCCTTTCTTCTCCTCAACATAGAGAATTTGTGGGTTAGAAGCTTGTATACCAAACTGTCCATTTTCACAATCTACAGCTAGTAACAGGTAGTTAAAAGTTGAATGAAGTTATGGTACTTTATCACGGTGAATGGGAAAACAGAGCCTAATGTGCTACAAATAATAATAATAAATTTATACCTTTTAATATGTATGTATTATTTTGCTGAATCTATATCTTCAAGTGGTTTATTTATATATTTTTAAGAAAAAACATCACATCAAGAAATTAATCTCTATTAATATGTTTTTATGTTTTTTCTAATTTTAGAACTCTATCAGGCACAATCTCTCGTTAAACAAGTGCTTCATCAAAGTTCCCCGTGAGAAAGACGAGCCAGGCAAGGGTGGCTTCTGGAAGATTGACCCACTGTATGCTGATCGTCTCATGAATGGTGCCATCAAGAAACGAAGACTACCCCCTGTGCAAATACATCCAGCTTTCGCAGGAGCACAGTCACTAGCTGGAACAGAGAACATTAGAGGGTCTCCGTGGATGTTTGCTGTAAATTCTGAGTCCCATCAGTTGCTGAAGGAGTTTGAAGAGGCTACTAATGAGCAGAGCTGGAACTCTGTTGGTGAGCAGGTTTGGAACATCTCAGCAGATCCAAAGGGTCACAAGCGCAAGCAGCCGCAACCTAAACGCATGTTCAAGTCTCCTCGTCTTTCCAGTTCCCCCATGCTCTCTCAAGATGAACCAGCTGAGCTAGGACCCCTAAAAGGTGACTTTGACTGGGAGGTGATCTTCGACTCTACAATCAATAGTGGCAACTTTGCCTTAGAAGATCTTGAGGTCACTCCTCCCTTAAGTCCAGCCACCCGCTCTGTTGACCTTACTGTCCATGGAAAGCACATTGGCTGTCCACAGCAATGGCCCCCAATGGGACAGGATCCAGCAATGGTCCAGAACAACATGGATTTTGATGAAACCTTTCTGGCAACTTCCTTTCTTCAGCACCCTTGGGACGAGGGCAAGAATGATTATCTGTCTAACTCTGCCAATCTAGAACACCTATTTGATCTTAATGAAGCCTTTCCTCCGGAACTCAACGACTGGTCGTCCATTGGTTCCTATTTATAGTAGTGCCAAGAAAAATAATTTCTAAGACTCATAGACATTTATATAAATATATATATATATAAACTTATAAATAACTTAGAAGACTTTCTAAACCTACTTAAAAAGTTTTTAACAAATTTACAGAGTGGAGAAACCTAACTCTGGAGTTTACATAGTTTGGAAAAGAGGACGGGAGCCAATGCAATAATAACCCCAGAAAAAAACTAAATAATAAAACAACATCAAGAACTCTTAAATGGCACCATAAACTCTTGGCATAGGAAAGATTGCACAAAGAAGAAAAAAACATATATTAAAAAACTTTTTTTTTTCTTTTTTTACTTATTTTACAATTGAAATAAAAAAAAATGTTGTTTTATTCTCAACCCTAGCAATTCTATACGTGTGTTTTCATAGCTGATGTGGAGAGGCCAAAAAACAGAATGTGATATCAGAAAAACAATACTGATATATGAGCTTTTCTGGATTAGGTGCAATGTGCCCTTCCTATTTTTTCCATCCCCTTTCCATCCCATATTCTAAGCTAACATGCTACTGGATAGCTACTTTATATACATTTAACTTGTCAAATTATTTGTACCCATGTGGCTATGATGGTCTTTTATCCTTAACTACAAGGACCGTTGACCGTGAAGCTGATACAATATATGATACGTATATTATTCTTCTGTTATCATGAGGCATGATGGGAAAACTATTAATGATTTGATAAACTAAAAATAAAATAGAGAGGTTTAAAGATTTATATATTTTTACTAATTGTACAGCGCTGCGGAATCTGTTGGCGCTTTATAAATACCAGTAATAAATAAATAAACAATGGAGTTCCCATCTCTTAATCTTGTCTCCCCCCCCCATGGTATAATCTTCTTTTCTGCGCTACGGAGACATTACTAGGTGGTCGTTTAAATTGTCTGACATGTATATAGCAAAGTGTAAACTGGATCAGTGCAGCTCAAGAAGCATAAAATATATTTTTATATCACGCATAAATTCCTTTTCAGCCAGAATTTCTAGTGTTTTGCATGCCACCTGGATCTCAAGAGGTTAATAGGTCTCGCTTTGGATTTTACATCCGTAGAGGCTACAAGTATGTATGTCTGCATGTATGTGAATAGACTTAGAGGCGGTGAACAATACAGATTTTATGACTGTTCCCTGCCAGTTTGAATGGTTCAAACATTCTTATGCAATTTTGGTTGGGTGGGAAGTGGGTCTAAAGAGGGGGATGTCCTGGAATAAATTTAAACTACAATTGTGTGGACTTTGAAGGTGTCCTGAGCTTCTCTTTTAAGGGAAAAATAAATAAATCTACTTTTTTGCAAAAAAAAGTCTTGTGTCTTTCTTAAAATTGGTTGTGTCATGGTTCTATTTTTAATTACAAGAAATATAGAGCTTAACTGAAACTTAAATAGTGCAAGTGTATGTTGCTCTACGTCAATTAACTAATCTGCAGTCCCTGCAAATCACCATCAGTATCTCAAATAAAAAAAATTTGTTCGGTTTGACTGGCCAGCAGTAGTTCCTTATGGAGATGCACTAAACAACAACATTGATTTGATTAATCTTTACAGGAAAAATCTCAATTAATCTAATTGTACTCTGATTAATATGGTTCAAATAAGATCATGCCCATACTTACACTTAATTCAAGGATTGGGGGTCATAGTGTGTTTTTCGCTGCTTAATATTAGTTTCAGGGGATTATGCCAGGGACTTGGTAACCTAGACTAGGGATAATTTAGCTTGGTATTCCAGATATTTATGGACTATTTTATTACGATTGGCTGAGCATCTTTGGAAATTTAGTTCACAAACATAGGCACCAAATTTAACCATCACTGGCTTGTCTGGCTGTGTGGTTCATACATTCCAGGACTCCCAAGATCATACGTTGGAGTTTGTTTGTGAATGAGTTCCAAATCACAACACTAAAAACGCTATTTTCTATTGTTTGGTGAGCAAATAGATAACTTTATTCTTTGTTCAACAAATTTCTTATTGCCACTGAGAACTTACACTGGATGCGGTGGAGAGTTATTTCTTAATGACCCATGAGTGTGCAATAAATTGGAATAATTAGGTTTTATTTCTAAATCACTTGTGTAATGTGTTGTGTCTGATAGTGGCACGGAGTGAAACATAACAAAACAAATTCAGGCCGTTTTCATTTATAATACATTTAAACATATGGAAGAAGATAACGTGGAGAGATTACAGAGTATAGTCATTCAAGTACAAAATATAAATCCTGCAGCCATGAATCCCGAAGAATGTATCTCCAAGACCCTAACCAAGAGATCAAGCAAGAAAAATGTGTCTAAAACTCTGAATATATGCTGCAGTTAGGATATTCAAGACACGAATGGAGTTTTCTGAATAATAAATTCTTTGGAATATGCTAGGCAAATGGGGGGAGGTAGAGACTGCTGGAGCTGAACTAGCCACTGTGGTACTAAGTGGAAGGAGAGTGATGTGTGGGGGGACCGTTAGTGGAGACAGACTGGGTTCACGGCATATCAAACAAAATGTGGTACTTATGCAGCAAATAGGTTAGTGCCCGGTTTATATTATGTCAGGCTAGGCATCCATGTCTTAACTATTCTAGGGAGATATTGCTTTAGGCTAAAATAGGTCTTAGGAAAACAAAACTAGCGTTAGTATTATGTTTAGCTAATAGGAGGATGTTCTACCTAGCACTTCATCCAGATTTAGGCATATAGCTAGGCTCTTAGCAAGTAAGCTAGCCGTACAACTTAAGAGTCTCAGTGCGTCCCTCAGCCCACGCCAGCAGCTGGTATTGTGTTGGCCCCCAGTGTGGCCTCGTCGGTGTTGCTCAGAGGTAATGTCCACAGGTCGATATTGTTTCTCCCAGCCAGGGTCTGTGTACGATGGCCGCAGGACGAAGAGGGCATGTTGTGTTTTGGCGGATTCGCCGTTCAGCACGGGTGTTTCCGCTGCGTCCCAGTTTCCAGCCTCTCCGGCTCCGGGCCCTCGCCTTGTGTCCATGTAGCCTCCCAATCTCGGTGGTTGGTTCGGGGGCCCGCGGGTTCTCCCTGTCCCGGGTGTCCCCACGGGTGGACGGCATGGAGTAAACTCCTGGTAGGCCCCCAGCCCAGAAGGGTGTCAGGCAGTCAGGACAGCAGCTTCGGACGCCCTCTTGACAGGTGATGCAGGCTTGGTTTCACAGGCTTCCCTCCGCTCTTGTGCTGGTAGGCCCGAGTTGCTCTGCTTTAGTTGCAGCTCGGCGGCCATCTTGGTAGCGCCGTGCTGGCTGCTCATGTTTCGCTCGCCTTTCTGTGGTGAGGCAAGCGGTTGTAGTCTGGCCTCCATTTGCACCAGAAAGTGTCGAAGATTGCATCCAACCTCTGTAGGGCCCCATGCTGTGGGTCTGTAGGCTCAGGGAGATGCGTGGCGTCCACATGCTGGGTGCCGCATCGTGTTGCATGCTTTTCAGTGCAGTCCCCCACTACACCCTCTCTGGTCTAAGTTTGCCTCCCTGGTATGGACCGCAATCACTCCCAACGTAACAGGGCTCCTGCTTGCGATGTGTCGGCATCTCGTGGTGCTGGACCGGGAGATCGGCCGCCTCTCCCGCTCTACGAGCACCAGGCCTCATGTCACAAGTCGGTCGGCCAGCCGGCCTCAGGTTGGTCGCAGACCTCAGTGTTGGTTTAGTGCCCCTTCGTGGGTCAGGTAAGTCTATTGGGTGCCAGTTTCGAGTTATTTAGGGCCAAAAATGACATAAATTGCCCTGTTGTCTGAGGAGCTCTGCAGTAGCATGTCTGTCTTCCATGCTGGTCAGGCCCTGCCCCCAGAACACCTAATCCAGGCAAAAAATAATGGGGGTTTAGTTACATTATATGATCATACATTGCATAAGCCTTCCACAACGTCAATGTACCCCACCTTTGGCAGGTCCTACACTACCAGCCTAGTGTACCAGCCTAGCTTCATGAGCTACTTACTTGGGGGGGTGGGGGGGAATTCCATCTCGAGTTCTCTGCAGTACAAGGCTAAATAGGGCCCTGGGATGAGGCACCTGTGACAGGGAGGGGTGCACAGCCAAGGAGTAAACCCCTTGCCAGACAGAGGTTTATGGTTAAGATCAAACCCAAAAGACCAGAATGAGAGACTTTGGACTGGTGGAGCTTCTTACTATATGGGGTTGAGCTTAGTACTGTCAAAGTTTGTCTCTGAATCTGTAACACTTACAGGAACTTTAAAGGTGAGCAGTGTTTTATTGTAATTTTTAGTAATTTTCTTTTGCATATTTTTAATGCAATACCCATATAATACACTAAAACACGATGCCTCTGTCATTCCCATTAGCGTCCATAATCTCCCCTCTCTATACCCAGCCTTTCTAAAGTCTCCTTTCTCTTTTTTTCTATCTTACAGCCATATAGCATTCCCTGTCTCCCTAAGTTTTATCCCTCTGTGTTCACTCTACATTACTCACTTTCCCCCCCATTTTCCTCTTCACGCACACATTCTGATTATTTCCTATCTACTAATCCTTTCTAAACCCCTTATTAATCTCAGGAGTAGATAAAAAACAATATTTTCCTCCTCGCCCCATATCTTGTGAAAGTTCAATTGCACGACCCCGAATACTTGAACGTTACAGCGCATTGTAGTGGTTTTGGTGCTTAGAGTTTTATGTTGAGACAAAACCTGGGGTCTCTTCCAGTTTGGAATGACCTATTAAACACTGGAGACAGTGACAGTAATACAGGTTGGGCAGCAATAATTCCAACATATTTTGCAATGTTGTACACGTGATAGAAACAAATACTTAAAGAAAAGTTTAGAAGGCTACTACTTAAGCATAATTAACAACTGAAGGAAGATAGGCTACACGGTTGAGTAGTGTAGTGTGGTAAGACTGGCTTGAAGAAAAAATGGGCAGTTTGCAATGTCAGAAGGTCCAGTAATATGATATGAATTAGGTTAAGTATAATTTGGCCCATGTAATGGTTTCTCAGCCAACAGACTGTATGGATAATTCCATATTACACACATTCCACTTTAATGGATCACAATGGTATTCTGAAATAGATACACAGAACAGATTCTGTGAACAACATAGGGTAGGTAAATATACCAGACAGGGAAGAATTTCTCAACAATTTTTAACCGGTGTGCTACAGCAGCCTGCTGTGTCTCAAGTAATTTCAAAGTGTGCCATGAACACAATTGGTAGTTAAACATGAAGAGCAATTCTGAGGCAAAGTTCTAAAAGTAGACTAGTCGCCATAGAAACCAATTGAATGTTCTTGCTGCTTGCTCCATTTATACAACTTAGCACCAAAATCACTCTTGATACATAAACACCCATTGACTTGTAGGCTGTAGTAATTTGAATCTATCTTTTTTTCATTTTAATAAGTGTCAGCATTAAAGTGGGGATTCCCATCTGGCAAATAATTAAAGAAACATTATAGGATATGAATACAAACAAGGATTGGTTCCTGGCAATTAATTAAAGGAACATGATGGGACAAGAATACAAACCTGCATTTTTAATGCCATAGTGTCCTGCTAACTGTTTAGGTTACTGCCCCTTTACCCTTGTAATTTCTAAAAATGTCGTTTTTACTTACCCTTCAGCCGTCACTTGGCCGGTTTCAACGTTGCCGCCATGTCTCCCTGGATGAGATCATCAAGATTGATGATCATAGCCAATTCAATGCTTTCCCATAAGGAAGCAGTGGGTGGCTAGTGTACCAATAAAATTCTCTCTGTGAGCAGTATTTAATTGAGAACCGAGCCTGACACCGTACTCACTAGGGAATATAGGAAGATAGCCACTAGAAGTGTGTATAATCCTGAAATGTTGTCAAACCCTTTCCCTTGAGACAGGCATATCTTTTAGAGACGAGAAGTTGGGGGTTTGACGGCTTGTGTCCTGCTCTGATAGGCTTTGACATTTTACTAAGTGCATATTGCTTGTAATTTTTCCTGCTTTTTGCTGTTTATTTATTATCATACCTTTGTACTAATAAAGTATTGACTATTGATATAGTAGTTTTGGTGTGCATCCCGGTTTGTCTATAACCCTGCAATTTAAGCATTACCCTTCCCACAAAATGAGGTTTGGATGCATTTAGTGTTTTTTAACATAATAATCCTTTAATTAAGTTTTGAAAGGAAATAGATATTTTTGTAAATGCAGTATATGTAAATAAATAAAGAAAAAGGAGAAAAAAATCCTCCCCACATTTAGTACAGGTCAGGATCCTTCAGCCATATACATACACCTTGGGTCAGATCATGTTTTGAAAACAGACAGTTAGTCTCTA